GACTACATATGTAGGATGGCTTTAAGAAATATGGACGGGAGAAATTTGGTTTTTTTAGTGTTTCTTTTTTTAAGTTGTTTTTTTCGTTTTTTTGTCTTTGGTTTATTTTTGGTTATGTACTTCTGCCTGTGAGCTTTTAGTAAATAGGGAGTACTTTATAACTGTCGAGGTGTTGATGATATTTGTGGATCTCAAGGCTCAACGCAACTAACTTTACAACTGTTTCAAGCTATACATGCGTCCCGCAAAATATACTTTAAATGAGGGGCTAATCTATTCAACATGTAAATGCTTAAAAACGCAGGGGCGCGCGTATACCCCGAAACCCAAAATTTATGAAAATCATGAAAAAATGATGAAAAGACATGCGACACCATGAAACATCATGAAAAACAACCAAAAATCATGGACATAAAGGAACAACCCTGAAAAAAGATGGAAAAATTGACAATTGAAAAAATCATGCAGTGTCATGAAAAGGATGATGGACATGATGAAAAATGAGAAGTCTGAAAGTTGATGAAAACTGATGGAACATGATGTGCAATCCTTCCGTCCTTCCTTGCTTCGTTGCTTCCTTGCTTCATTCCTGCTCTGCTTTCGCCAGGGTGTAGGGCCGAGGCACAAGCATCAAAAAAGAAAAAATCAGGGTTGGTGTACCCCCCAGGAAACAAGCTATGTGTTGTTTTGATGCTTAAAAGAAACGATGCTCATAAAGTCGTTTTTAACCCGTATCCCCTGCTTGTAATTTGACTATGGACGCTTCGCATACAAACGGGATTTCCAAAAAATCAGAGGCCCGTTATTGGGAAACCTACAATAACAATTGTGCAGCTTTTGAACCTGTATTGGGAGCCTCCTAATGTATGGAAACCCCCAAATCGCGAAACCTGCACTACCCATATAATCCTAGCTAGCTCCGGGTAAAGCCACGTGCAAAAAAAGCATGCGCAGGTATCCTAGGGCCCTGGCGTCTGTGACAGTAGACATTGAAGCAAAGGCCTTGGTTGAGGCTTTCATTTAGTTATCGGGAGGTGTTGGGCCTAGGGTCAAACACGGGCATGAGGTATGGAAAATGTGAGGTAAAAACGCGACCAGCTTGCTTCCTGCTACTCCCCACCAACAAATGACAGCAAATCAAGTGACACATCAAAGACTCTTGCAAGGACTTGTTCACATGACTTTTGCAGAGCATGCTGGCTGTTTGGGGGAAGAGAGTCTTCGCTATCCAGAGCGCAAGCATGAAAAGCATCCACTTGTCAAGCGCCGGCCTCCAAAGATCGCTCAGTATGTATAATGCTAGTCTGTCTGAACATCTATTTTCACTTAGTTGTTCAAGGGCTTTTCTGAGGGAGAGGGGACGCCCTAGATCTCGGCAGGTGGAAACCGCTCGCATTCTTAAGTCCCTCAACTTTCCACTTCCAAAACACCCTGAAAGCGCAGAAGTGGCTACCATGGCGGCCCAGATTCCTAGGCTGGCAGCCGGCTCCGCCAAAAAGGATTCACCATCCTGCTGCATGCTGCTTTGATTGTCTCAGTGCTTCAGATACAAAGGCGTAGGCTTCAGGCTGTAGGTTTTTGATCTCTCCTGACCTGTTCCCAACATAGTCTGCTAAAATATGCTGACATCACTAAGTAGCTTATAGCATACCTCCGGAATGGGAATCCCGATAAACATGCAAATGCAAGCCCAAAACAATGTTCCCCAACGTCATACCATTGCAAATTAAGGCGACATCTACAATGTTGGGTCAATTGGTTCACAGAAGGATCCAGGGTCAGCTTGTAAGATGCTCAACAATGGCAGGACCGTAGGTTCCTTTAATTGAAATAGAACTGGATCCCAGTGAATAGTATGAGAAGGTATTTAAAAATCGGTGACGGCTGCAAGGGGGTCATTGGGGCACATGGCGCCCCCTGCCCCAAACCCTGGGTGATGCTCCTCAACATTTCAGGATTCTCAAGGGTAGAATCTGAGTGAATGCCAGATCAAACACTCATGACTGCCTCCTGCGGTTCAGACGCGTTGTTTTGCTGGACCTCGGCAGTTTGGAAGGCTGGGGTAATCGCATGACCAGAATCCTAGAATAACACCCCGGATGCTGGCTGCGTTTCAGGCAAATGATGGCTGTCATGGCACCAAATCTGTCAAACATGAGCAAGCCTCCCTAACTCTTTTGCGGCAAGTTTGAAAAGACATGCTTCTGACTTGCTTCTTCGGGACATGCCGATACGCACGTCGCGCGTGGTCTCTGACCTGTGCAAGCTAGAAGATCGAGCTTTAGCACATGAGCCATAGTCTGAACCCCCTACAGTAATAACTCCCTATAATAGTCCCCTATATCTCCCATGTAGCCCCCCTTTTGACTATGGTACACATGGATACAGCACGAAACCAGGAGGAAACCAGAGGCACCTGGGAACTGCAGCATCTCCAGCTCCAAGGGGACGCGGGGCAGCGGGATTCAAAAGCTGATTTCAAGCCAGGACACCAACAGCTCCTGGGTGGTGTCATTTGAGGCCACACCAAGCTCAGTGTCTCCAGTTTCCTGCAGAAATCAAACATGTCTAGATTTGCGAGTCCAATTCTGTGCGGAAGGTGACCCCTTCAAATGCCGCCCCGCCCCCCCCCTCCCCCCCTTGGCTTCCACACGTCACCTTAGGATGCTTACAAGCCTAGGGTGGCTTGACGACTACTTGGAGCACTGTGAGCTGGGTAATGTGCTTGGACGAACACGCCGAAACAGGCCTAAGCAGCATCGAAATGCACAGCAGTGAGCTGTCGTTGCTAGTCACAAGAAGCCAAGTGCGCGGCGGGCCCACATATTGGTGCGCAAACTGGGTGAAGTCGTATCCGGCTTAAAGTTTTCCCCATAGCGACCTGGCTGCAATGTGTTGCACATCATGCTCAAGACAGCTTGGGCACACCACGGAAATTCGACATGTCCCAGTGGGCAGCTGGGAGACGGCCTGTACGCTTTGGCCAACTGGGCAAGCTGCCAATGGTGGAAGGATATCATGAACAATATGTTGCTGGGATGAACCGTTGCACGAGTGGACTCCAGCAGCAACAAAGCAAGGTTCGCAATCAACTGGCTTATTCGGCTGTCGGGCTGTACCGGCTTGCATAGTCTTCAGTTCTTGTGACACATGAACAGGACAGAAAGCTACCCTGATACATGTCATGTCTGAGCATCAGTCAGTGAAGCTGGTTGAGCCAAGGTTGCAATGGCACGCAAACCAGTGGCGGACACATCGCGCAGTAGCCACGAGCATGATGATACAAGACATGCCACCACCACCACCACTGCTGCCATCGTCATCATCATCACCACAGCCAACAACCCCAATGGAACCAGAGGAGCAGACTGAATTCTTGCCAATTGGCTCAATTTTGGCGCACAATGTCTCTTTCATTGATGCCGCGTCATCTTGTGGTGCTTCAAGTCCGCCTGCAAGGGGCAAGCCAACTTGTGAGATGGCAACATGAACGCTCAGAGCTGCCTTGGGCAGCGCGCCGATGCGGCCTTCCAAAGTCCTTGTCGCCACACAGCGCTCCACGTTGCGCTGCAGGGCTGTAACAGCCTACATGCGAGCGCTAGCCAGGAGATGCAGCTTCAGATGGTGAAAGTAGTGGCAGTATTCCTCACAATCACAGGCCGAGGAAGGTTTCTAGTAGGCGGCTTGTTGCTGCGATAGCTCTCACATGTACCGTACACATCGTCATGGTACGATGCAAACTACTGCTAGTAGCGATGGTAATAGTGATATTGATTGTAAACAGCAACCAAGTATCGGTACAACCAACAACACTGTTGCCATTGCTCGTGATACCAACATCTGTCGTCGTCATGCACCTTAGTGCTGGTGGGTGGCGGCTTCGACATTTGTACCAACATCTACCAGGTATAAGTCGCTATGGTGACATGATTTTGGTTTAGGGCCGCAGTCATCGCAGCTACCTTGGCGCTTCCGTTAGCAGCAGAGCAGCGGCAGCAGCTTTAGCAGCAGGATCAGGAGGAGGCAAGAGCAGGAGGAGCAGGAGGAGTACAGCATCAGCAGCATTAGCGGCAGCAAGCAGCAGTAGCTGCGAGTGCTTGTGGGCCAACTTCACCCACTTAAAAACAACACATGTTGCAGCAGAAACCCCAACACCATCACCAAGATTTTTCCCCTACTGCCAGGACCTTTATCATAAACATCTGCAGCTGTTGCTTCTGCCGGTCTTGCGAGCATGACACAAGTGAAACGAATCAAACAACCCACCAACCGTCACCAACCCCACCTGCACGTCGCTGGAATTCCCAAACCAGACCTGACAAAAGCAGATCTGATTGCGGTTGGCCTAGGCCTACACCTCGCCACCTTGCTATCTTCTGTGCTTTCCTGTTATTGCTGCATGCAACGTCACTTTGCGAAAAATGCGATGGACCATGACAAGTTAAGAGGCCTGGCATGACAAACAGAAGCTCAGCAAGTATGAAGCACAGTCATAGCGCCCCAGCGCCCGCCTCCATGCGCAGCATGCTCGGTACACCTCCCTTGCCAGTAGTGACTTTGTCCTGCACAAGCTGATTTACGAAATGCTTTTGGCATCACAAGCTCTCTCAAAGGTCGTCCTACACTCCGGTTCTAAGCACAACATTCCTGAGCCACGCAATGTCCGCCCATGCGCATAGGTTTGTAAGACAACTGGAGGAGTCACAAGATGGGGGCGTGGGTAGTAATTTCAAATGTGTTGTATTGAGAAACTCCCCTCTGTCCACCAGCCGGAGGCCTGTGATCATGTCCTGGGACAACCAGAAACCAAAGGGCTGTATATCCTATGAGGACCTACACTTTGGGAATGACAGTGCTTTTGGGATGCTGTGCGGTGCAGGAGTGGTTCCTGACTCTCTGATAAGGGGTCATCGCATCGCTCTGTTTTCATGTCTTCAAATGTTTTCTGTCAAATATTATGTATCGAGCAAACCATGGTTATCCACTGCTGATCTCCTAGGATCTCTGAAGGTTTTGGACGTGGTTTGGCAGTGATTCTTTAGTAGGATGTGAGGGCTTCGGCTTTTGGATCCAAAATGAAACTGGGGATCTGAACCTTTCCTGGTGCACCTAAGCCACCAGTATGTGCGTTGCCCTGATATGGCCTAGCGGGTGAAGCTCGATAATAAAGGGTTGAAACTCTTCGCAGCTTCTAAGCCCTATGGATCGCAACATCAAGACCGCAAACTCATCACAGCTTCGGGTTCAGTATATCAGGTTCTCAGGCAAAGCCTCACGCATTCCAACTCTATGCTATCAGTGAACCCCTGAATCTCTGGAGAAGGAAATCGAACCAGGGTAACCAGGGGATTTCTGAACATCCTTCTTCTATCTGGGCTCCCCAGGCTCGAAGGGCCCTCTCTCGCCTGAATCTTTAACACTGGAGTTTAAGCCCGATGCATATATATTCATATTGAATATAAATGTGTATTGCTGTCTGAGCGGCTGGAGGCTCCAACGTGTTGCCCAATGCACCCAGTACCAGGTTGTTCCAGTACTCGTCCTTCAGTACATACTTAAAAAGCATGGTGAAAAGCTCAATTACGACCCTCCACCCCCATAGACAGGCGTAAGATCTACAGCGCGGTTCATGCGCATGCCACACGAGCAGCACAACCATCATGATACTCTGGACTTGGCCAACCACAATGAACCTCCAATTGCAGGTTGCATGTCCTGTGATGAAATTTCGACAAATCATCAGAGAATGAATCTGGGGTGTGGAGCTGTTTCACCACATGCTAGTGTTTAGGGCGCAGGGCGATTCCAACCGCTGGCTAGTCAACCCAACAAGAGCCGGTAAAAAAGACATCTGCAGACAACAGGATGGCAAAGCGCGTCAAAAACTTGGACAAGCCTTGCATGCCCCCAAGCATGCTGAGTCGCACGCTAGCTGCGAACCACTAACTGAAGCCTGGGGAAGGCTTGGCTGTCATGCCACGGCATTTCACGACGGCTAACGTGATCTTGGCACTCAACTCAGACGTTGGATGCCAGGGAAATTCTATGCCCATAGCAATTGCTCCTTATCGAAGGGCTGCAAGTTGTTAAAGGGGCTACAAATGAGGGATTCAGCGTAGTGCCGGAAGTGAAGAGCTTGCGGAAGGGTTCTTTAGGCTCTTGGTCGCAGGGATTGGTCTGGGTGCGAGACCCTACGGACCAGACCTTGCCCGAAATCATGGCACAAGAGATCTCGACGTAAACTGAAGACCCTCAAATCGAAAAATCGTTGTTGATAGTGCCGCAGCTAGAAAAAGAAATCCCTACTCACGGCCAGCAAACCCTGTGACAACAACTGCCACAATAATCTGAGGGATCGGGTTGCACATGGGAGGATGCTGATGAAATCTGTTCTAGTTCTTGAAGTTAGGAGCTTTTGCTGGTCACCCTAAAACAGCCCTAGTGAAAGGGTTGGCAATAAGTGGCATCTCATGTGCCCCTGCCTTGAAGTGGAACTGCAGATGTCCGCCTTCAGAATTTGCGGCATCCTGCAGCTTGGAAGCTTGCGTGGAGAAGAAAATAGAACCTACAGTAATTGTAGGGATTATATAGGGGTTATATAGGGATTATAGGGTGTACACATATATATATATTGAGGTAGATGAGGCACGAGGGTTGGGGCGGTTAGGGTTGGCTCGACCGCATACACGGCCAAAGCTGGATACTCCCAAACTGCCTGCATGGACCAACTCCCACATGGCTCTGCTTTCTCCGCACATTTGCTCGCACCGCCGAGCTTCCCAGTGGATGCTACTAGATGCTGTGCGAACCTTCGCCCTCTCAGTGATCTTTTGCTTCCTTGGAACCTCCCCCAACTTCCTGAAATCTGCAGTACTCCGAATCCACCGCCAGATGAATATGTAGCTGGTGGTAGCTGTGCAAGCCATATCTGATCTGCAGATGGGTATTCGTCAAATTGAGGTGTCCCGTCTAGCCCCGGAATTCACATGGAGATCCGAACATACCGCCTATGATTATAAGACCCAGCACGAACCCAAAATCCGCCAAAACAAGTGCGCAACTTAGGTTAGGCTCCTCACTAACGAATAATGACTAATGTTAACTTAATAAAGTGTCGCGGTGCCAGTAGAAAAGTCCAAGAGGCTAGTTACTTTGCTTTCTAACAAGTTCGGAGCCCGAAAACCGACAAACAAATTTGATCAGCAATAGAAGGGCTTCCAATAATAAAACTCCGCGAACGAGAATATCGCACTTTTTACATAGATTTCCTTGTACTTGTATTACTCGTAATACGGCCTGTACTCCCTAGTCCAACCCCCACCTGCTGGTTCATTATTGCGAGCCCCCCCTCCGTACACCAAAAACTCGAAACAAGTTCTGGAAGGAAATCACTATTGTCAGGTTAACATTGCCAAGGATAATGGTAAAATGTCAAAGTCCCTATGTGTTCCTCTTACATCCACTACTACTGGGCGGGATCTTGGGCCATTGTGCAGCCTATTCATCAAGTCACACCTGGTCACACTGGTCACACTAGGCCTCCCATTGCGGGAGCACGCCCTCCCGAAAGATCATGAGGGCATCCACGATGTGAGATCCATCCTGCCAACTGGGTTTAGGGTCTCAAGCAGGGGCTGACATCAAAAAGAACCTACTCTCTCTCTCTCTGTTTTTGCAACTTGTCGTGCAAAGAGCATTGCCACCAGCTTCGACATGTTGCTCACCCATCTAAAACGATCAATCGTGTAGCATCACATGTTAACAGCCATCCATGCAAACCGGGCCAGACCTGCATGTATGACTGATGGGAGCCGGCTCCGACATGGGACTGCGTGACATCTGTCGTGCCACAATGTGTCTCAACACGTTTTTGACTAAACACGGCATCAAGCAAAAAAGGCCCTCACTGGATGGTGCAAACCTCCAGAAAAGCCTCATGGGTTGGTCTGGGGAGGGTCAGCTTTTCAGCTCATCATAGCAAGAAGAATAACAGTGATACTAGTCAATACTTTTCTTTTTTTTTCTCGCGCCTTTTTACG